CTGAGACTAGGGGGGAATACATGAGCTGGCATGTGGTCTGGCTGGTGACCACGTTGGTCACCGGTAACAGGAAGAGGGGGAAAACAGCAATGAAGTTGGCAGCTAAGTCCAATAGCTTCATTAGACTCCTGTGATCCCAGGTGGAGACCTGGTTGGCCAGCAGTATGGCAAGACCAGGGACTCCTGGGTCCAGAGGCAGTGACATGGCCACAGAAGACTAGAGCAGAGAGTGAAGCATCCAGCTGATATGAAGTGAGGGGAAATGCACAATAACACCCATACTTCCAGATAGTACCCACTTGACCTGGCTTCAATAGCTGGATGATAAGAATTAGACTAAAAGAAGAAAGAAGGGGGGAAAAAAAGTAACCCACTACAATTTGATGAACTTTACTTATAATTGTGGATGTAGTAGCTCAAAAAAGGGAACAAGAAATCTTTACAATGAGGATCACTCCCACCTCCTTGGTACTCAGGGTTGACAGGGATGGGTAACTTGGACATTGGCTGCCCAAAATGGGTGGAATACAAAGGCAGGAAGTGATTGGCTTACAAGCTTTCAAGAGGGAGCCTAATTCCAAATGGGGTAGGGGGAAGGTAGGATCTCCACTAAATGGTTTCCAATCTGTTGGAATGGGGCTAATGAAAGGAGATAGGGATAAGATTCTTGCGGTACAATGGTGAATAAATGCTGTCAGGACTAACTGTGAGGGCCAGAAATGTACAGGTAGATGTTTTGTAGCAAAAGGAGGGGAGTGATTGATTTTGCAGTCCAATTGTGGAGGTCCCTGGGACCAAGAAGTGAGAAGGGCGGAGTACGATGGGACCCTACCCAGAGAAACAATGATGCCAGAGATGGAGGCAGAGATAATGATGTAGACAGATGGAGTGGCTGGGGAGACTGGACTCAGGGAGGGAGAGGGGCTGTTTACTGATGGGGGGGGGGGAGTGGATTGTATTCATTGCAATGAAACAAAATACTATAGGATGAATGTAAAACTGATGTTCTCCCATATAGACCCACATAATTCACAATAAAAACAACAGCAAAAAAATAACACTGAAAGGCAACAAAAGAAATATAAATACTGATACATGCAATAACATTAACCTCACAAATATGTTGATTGAAAGAAGTCACATAGATAAAAAATAAATTCATACTCTATGATTACATGTTTATGACATCCAAGTGTATGTGTAGGTAAGAAGGAATGCATGCAACATACTGGGATGATGATATTGCTCTGTTTTTTCAAAATGTAAGCTACAGTAATTTATGAATTTTTCAGATTTGATTTAAAGAGACACAATTTGAGCATTTCACTGTATTTAAATTATACTTAAGTTTTTAAAACCATCTCATAGTTATTGTTGTTTTTAAGTACTTTTGAACTGGTTCCAACTCATAGCAACCCTGTATAGTATTTCCAATGAGAGACTGATGGGCTTGAACTATCTACTGATAGTTGAATGATTATCTTACAAGACACCAGGACTTCCTTATGGTTATGGTAGTTATTTTAAAGTACTTCTTATATTTTTTGGATATAAGTAGAAACATTTACAGATGAAAAGCAATATGTAATATTTGGAAGGAGTTAGTGATAGAGTTTGTAGGCATAGACACAAAACAGGATTATCTATTCATTGACAATTGTGGAAATTCAATGATATTTATGTGAGGGTCCTTTAGTCTCTTTATTCTGTTATATGAGGAGGCTTCAAAAGTTGGTGGAAAAATTCCATTATCTTTGAACTGAAATTTTCCAACAAGTTTTTGAAGCTCTTTGTGTGTTTAAATACTTTCCATTGCAAGAAGTTGCAAAGAACACAATCTTTTCACTTTATCTCCTCACCAAACAAGTGGCAAAACACTTGTTTAAGGTCTCAAAGTCTAAGAGCAAAATAGCTCCCAATTTCAACCTTTCACTGATCCCAGGAAACACAAATTATGAGTTCCAATTTTTGGAAGGCTGCTAAAAAAGAAAGGAAAGAAAAAAAAGGAACAGCGCAAGATGCTTCAGTAATAATTATTTATGATCTTAAGTTCATGATTTCCTGCAGAAAATTTGTGCATATACATATATATGAGTATTTATATAACTAGCCTTGTGTTTCTTTGTGATTTCAAATGGTTGATTTATAGATTTAAATGCATTTTGTGTAAATTTCGAAATTCAAATGAGAGCAAAAAAATCAAACCAACCAACCAACAAAACATACAGCAAAGATTTGTTTTACCCTTCTGGTGCTGAAATCTCTCTCCCAATCCAGGTTTATGAAGGCAAAGGTATTATGGTAGAGGGAGGAGCTTGGTTCTCCATTCTAGTATGATCCTCCCCAGTACTAAAAAAGATGAAAATGTTAAGCAATGCAAAAAATGTTTTGAAGTGCACGCGTTCGTGTTTGTGTTCCTGCCTGTGTGTCTCATGGTCTGTCCGGGGCGGCGGGGGGGGGGAAGGGCGAGGGGAGAGGAGCTGTCAGCTGCGCGGGCAATTGCAGTCACAAGTCAGAAAGCTGAGTTGAGTGTTTAGTGTTGCCTTTGCAAGCAGCAGAACAGGATATTGGGTATCATTTGTCTTCACCGTGCAGGTATTTGGTTGTCTGGAAATAGAATTCTATCTAGAGAGCAAAAAACCTTACGACTGCTTGTTTTCGACGGCTGGGGAATATTTATTCCACTGATGGGAAAATCGGCATCTGGTTGCTAATGATTGGTGAAAAGGAATATGGTGATAGTGGGTTGGCAAGAGGATTTGTCGAGCTTCCTCCAGCCACCCCAACCTGTAACTCTTCTTTACTAGTCTCCTCTCCACCTGAGGGACCCTTTCGGGTTCATCTGAGGTTGAGAACGAACGAATATATCTGGATGATGTTTGAACAAAAACGACCTTAAATGTTGTGTTTTGCTATCATTTACTAAATTTAAGCTGAGAGAAAAGTGCCCTTGGCTGTGAGGATAAGAGCATCCTCATAAACTGTCTGTTTGCTTTATTCAACAGTTCCCTAGAGATTGATTCTGTCTTTGGTGACCTATCCTCAGCCCCTGTCTCCTTGGGGGTTGACTCTCACTAGGTGCCCTCATGAAGAATAAGAACGAAAAGGTGAGGAAAGGAAAACAGGGCCCTGGAATAGAGGGAGCGATATCAGCCCAAACCTAACAGCTCCCAGACTGCACACGACTACAACGTGACCCTGAACTTGAGGTGACACGTCGAGCACCCCAGCTTCTAGCCTTCCAGGTCCAGGCGGGAACTTGAGTTGGAAAGACAGGCTCTACCACCCTTACTCCACACATCCAAGGAAAAGAACCAAGGAAAAGAACGAAATGCACGCGGCTAGGAAAGCTGTGAGCGCCGGGAGTGGGGCGGGGAGAGGCGCTGACAAATCAGCTGAGGGGGCGGCGAGCGCAGGAGGAGGAGGAAGAAAAGGAGGAGGAGGAAGACTACAACGACTAGAAAGGGGCTGAAGAGAGGGGGCGAGCATCTGAGAACCGAAACGCGCGACTGTGAGGTGCGTGCTGGCTTTAGAGCGCACCAAGGGACCGAATCCCGCTTTAACATCTTTCCTGCGCTCTCCCCGCCTTCCTTTTAGACCCTCTACTTTCTCGGATCCTCTAGTGCGGGGGACTGGGAGTGGCAATTTGAAGACAGGTTTGCGGGTTCGCCTCCCACGTTCCCAGCCTCTCCTTGCCGAGTTGAGCTGACAGCAGCCTCTAGGGACCCTCCCTCTCCTGGTGCCGCCTCCGCCCTTCCTGTGCGCTCCTTTCTGCCCTGTCCCTATTTAAATAATATTTACTTAAATTAAAAACGTGGGGGAGGAATCAGAGTTCTGGAGAAGCCAAGAAGCTCAGGTAAGTAGTACCTGTGGAGCTAAAGGAGCGGGGAGCGTTGGAAATCCTGTAGAAAATCTAATGGGAGAAGAGGATGGCCGGGAGGGGATGGTGGCAGGGAGGGACTGGCTGTGCCAAGTCTCTGGGAGATGGTAACTTGTGCCTTTGGTGAGACTGAGGAAAGTCTGAGTGGATTTGGCTTTCCACCTGATTTCCATAGTACCAGTGTATCTACCCCAAAGCGCCCCCCTATACGGTTTCCAAAGCAAGGTAGTGCGAGAATGTTCAGTGGATGAACTTCCAAGTTTGATTTCTCTCTTACCTAAACGTCCTACTCCGCCCTCTGGGGTTTCCTTGTAAACTAAGCAAGCTGCATTTGGAGAGAAAAAAAAGAATGTATGGGGGGAGCAAGTCAACAGGTGTTAAAGGGTTAACAGGTGCAGTCTCCGTAGTCTCCATTGGGCATTGGGTGTGTAGTCCCCTGGCAAGTTCCCGCAAAGAAGGGCCCCTCGGGTGGAGCCTGTTTTGAGACCATCCGCGGGAGAGAACCGCTCCTGCCCTGGGGAGATAGCAGAGCGCGGCGGATGGTTGATCTAGCAGATTAGAGCAAGTGCTGGAGGGTTACTGCCGGCCTGAGGTTCAGCCACACCCCGAGTGGAGTGAGTAGTTTTCTTCCCTCCCCTTTCTGGATGATCTTGCTGTCAGTCTTCTTCTGGTATTCATTGCTAAAATGCCTCTGAACCCACGCCTATAACTGCTTTCTCTTTTCCTGTGGTTTCCTTCCAAACGTGCTTCTAACTTACAGTATCACGCATTGGATCCTAGGAAGTTGAAAGAGGGTTCCAACCTTTCATGCTACTCCACTTGCGAAATGCAGTAGGATCAGTCCTAATAATTCATCCTAATCCATGTTTAGATCGCTAGACTTTTACTGGGCAAGATGGAGGGGGGATACTAAAATTTTGGTGCAAAAGGCACAGAAGGCTCATTTTGTTCAGTGATTAAATGGAGATACACTTAAAAGAGTCTTGCATTTTGGGATATCTACTGGTGTCTCAGTGTTTTTTTACTTTGGGTGATTTTAGTTTTGTTTTGTCTTTCCAAAAAGTTCTCATTCAAAGTGTATGTTGTATTCTCCAGTGTGGTGTAAAGGAATTCAGTAGCCATGGATGTATTCAAGAAAGGACTTTCAAAGGCTAAAGAGAGTGTTATGGCTGCTGCTGAAAAGACCAAACAGGGTGTGGCTGAAGCTGCTGGAAAGACAAAAGAGGGTGTTCTCTATGTAGGTAGGTAAATCCCAACTGTCATTTTAATATTTATTCATTAATGATGGGTTGGGATGATGATCACTAGTCTAAATGCTGGCATTTTTTGCTTGAATCATCTTTGTACTATCATTTACCAAAAGGATGGACTGACTCAGGTATGTGTGCATGGGCGAATGTGTGTGTGTTTTAGCTAATAGCACAAAATGAAGAGAATCTTTTGTTTTTCCAGATTATGCAATTATGCAATAGTATTTAGAAGTATTTGGTTGCTTTTTAAAAAATGAATGCCTGCATAGAATAAGGAAAATCAAACCTGTTGCAGTTGATTCAGTCTGACTCACAGGGACTTGTGTCTAAGTGACTATTTTGGAGGACAGTTTTTAAAATTCAGAGTCTTTAAAATTATCAAGGATATTCCTAAAAATCAAAATCATTCATGGGTCTTTGATTTCTTCTATCATCATAATACTTATTTTTTATATGTATATTTTAACTTTGAAATGGAGTCCTAGCGCGGTGCTGTAGGATAAACACTGGGCTGCTATATGCAAGGTGAGCGGTTCAAACCCACTAGCCGCTCGTTGGCAACCCTATACAATGTCATTATGAGTCAGAATTGACTCAAAAGCACAACTTAAAAATAAAACTTAGATAAATATGGCCCTGGGATGTATAAAAAAGGGCCCATTGTTGTTTGTCGTTAAGTGACATCAAGTTGGTTCTGACTCATAGCCACTCTATATACAGTTTCTGAGGAGAAACTGGTAGGTTTGAACTGTCAACCTTATGGTTTGCAGTCCAATGCTGATCCTACAGTGCCATACCAGGAGTGTGGGGGGCGGGGGTAAAAAAGACCTTTGTTGTTAAGTGCTGTAGAGTCAATTCTGACTCATATGTATAGGGTTTCCAGGAGTGGCTGGTGATTGAACCGCCAACCTTGTGGTTCAAAACTGACCTTGCAGTCCAGTACATTAACCCACAGTGCCACACCAGGGCTCAAAAAAAAAAAAAAAAATCTACTGGCCCTAAAATGGAAAGGACAGATCATTAGCCTTTGGTAGAGTTACTTATTGGTACGCTGAGAATGTGGTTGAGGACTACTACTAAGATCTTTGAAACTGTTATATAACTTATTTATCAAATGACGCATAATGAGATGGATGCTTATCATCTCTAATATTCCTAAAGTTCCACCTTGGAGTATATGCAAAGGCTTTTCTTTTCTTTTATTTTTTTTTACTTTTAATTGTGAATTGAATGAAGGTTTTCAGAGATCAGCAATTTTGCATTCACAAATCATACACTTTGTTTCACTTCAATGATTGCAATCCCTTCCATGAAACAACAGCTATCCCTTCCTCCCTCTGGTTTTCATTTCCATTCCACCCTCAGTCCCTTGCCTTCTCTACTTTGTCCTTAGATGAATCTTGCTCTTTAGATCTTGAATGATTGATCATTCCATGGTGAGCATACCTTACTAATTGTGTTGTCTCCACTATACCTATTAGCTGAAAATTAGGCCATGAGGGTGAGTTCCTTTTCAAACCCGAAGGGTGGTCAAGAGTGATCATCTCAGGTTCCTTCAGTCTCTTTCTGACCAGTAAGACTGGTCTTTTTATATTTTAAGCAATTTTGAGTTTTGCTTCATATTTTCTCGCACTCTGTCTGGGACCCTCTAATGTGATTCCTTTCAGAGCCGTTGGAAATGGTAGCTGAACACCATGTAGTTCTTATGGTCTCAGAGTCTTGGTGTTTACTTGCTCCATAGATCCACTGGACAAGGTGATTCCAAGCTTCTTTAATTTTCATCACACTTCTTTCTTCCACAAATGGAGAGGCCAATGGTTTCACCTTAGATGGCCACTCATGATCTTTTAAATTCCCAGATGCTTCATGGTTCAAATTGTCAAGGACTTCATTCTTCTTGGATCAACTGTCAACACTAATGGAAGCAGCAGTCAAGAAATCAAACAGCGTATTGCAGTAGGCAAATCTGCTGCACAAGACTTTTTTAAAGTGTTGAAGAGCAAAGATGTCAGCTTGAGGACTAAGGTGCGTCTGATCCAAGCCATGGTATTTTCGATTACCTCATATGCATGCGAAAACTGAACAGTGAATAAGGAAGACCGTAGAAAAATTGATACTTTTGGGTTATGGTGTTGGCGGAAACTGTTAAAGAGCCATCGGCTGCCAAAAGATCAAACAGAGGCCAAGATGGTCAAACTTTGTCTCTCATACTTTGGACATATTGTCAGGAGGGACTAGTCAGTGGAGAAGGATATCATGTTTGGTTAGGTGGAGGGTCAGAGAAAAGAGGAAAACCCCCAATGTGATGGATTGGCCAAGTGGCAGCATTGATGGATTCAAGTGTGGCAATAGTAGTAATGTTGGCCCAGGATCGTGCAGTGTTTCGTTCTGCTAAGCATAACGTCACTATGGGTTGGTACTGACTCGATGGCACCTAACAACAACAACAACATGGTTCAAGCTTACCAGCTGCTCCTTGGAAACCCTATACAGGTTCACAATGGGCCAGAACCAACTCTACAGCACTTAACAACAACAATTCACCAAAGAAGGATTTAAGACATTGTTTTTGTGGACTATGTTATGCCAACTGACCATGGTGTTTCCTGACACTATGGTCCTAAGACCCCAGGCCTAGCAACTCATTGCCTTTAGATGTTTGGTAATATCTCATAAGTTTTCATCATTTTACCCCTGGCTTTAATTAAATTACCCTCTCTCTTCCTCTTCCTTAACACATTTTCAGAAAATAATTGAAATAGTTTTAGAAGAGAAGTTTAAGTTGAGAATTACAAGATTTTCCTGGGTGTGTGAAATGTGAACTGTATCTGTTTAGATGAAATTTGGGATACTGAATCAGTGATGTGCATGCTTTATTATATCTTTATATTTTTCCTAACTTTTCTAAGTTGCATAAGTGCACCTTTCTGACTGTTCTTTGACTTTAGTATAATTTATAACTTAGTAACTTTATAGATTTTTTTTTTTAAGTCCTGGTGTGGCACTGAAGGATAAGCACTATACTACAAGGTTGGTGGTTCAAACTTGCCAGCTGCTCCTCAAGAAACCCTATATAGGGTTGCTATGAGGTAGAACCCAATCCACAGTACTTAACAACAACAACTTTGTAGATTTCTTTTAGGGTTCTGATGTGGTGCTGTGCGTTAATGTACTCGACTATGAGGTTGATTTGAACTGCAAGGTTGGTGGTTAAAGCTCACCATTCCCTCCTTGGAATTCCTATCCACAGTCTCTATGAGTTGGAACCTACTTGATAGCACTTAACAACAACAAAAACAATAATATTCACTCCATTGGTTTGTAACTAGTCTAGAAAATAGCAAATATTAGCTTAATACACTGTTTTTTTTTTATGTTATAAACAAGTTTTGTCATCTCCAACATATGTATGTATTTCATAGTCTTCATAGTCATTGTGTGTTTGCACAAATGATTTTCTTTTTCAGACATTATTTGTTATTTGCTCTGAAATGACTATATAAAATTGTAATTTGTGTGTTTCACTAATTTTTAAAATCATTTTGAATGTCTATCAATGTTTAACAGAGTAAATTCTCCTTTTGAAGTCAAATTGAAAGTTAAACAAATACACAAAAGTTAAGAGAAAAAATTACCATGTGAAGACATAATAGTATAGTGCAGGGATTGGCAAATTTTTCTACCAAGCCTGCTGTTGTCGAGGGAAAGCAGCCATACACAACATCTAGCATCACTCTGTGTTTCAATAAAACTTTTGTTTATTTTTTTCCCCCCAAATAGGTGGTAGTACAGGTTTGACCCATAGTCTGTAGTTTGCTGATATCTGGCATAGTGGGAAAGAACATGGACTTGAGACTGGTCAATTTTGAGTTCTAGTCCACGACTCCTTCACTTATTCCCAGTGAATATTGGGGAAATTATTAAACATCTATAAAGCATGATTTTCTTAGTTGGTAAAATACGATTTAAAAATTACAATGACCTTACAGAGGCTTCATGAGAATGTCATAATAAAGCAGAACAGATAAGATACAAAGAAGACTTTCATATACGAGTCTTGATTATTATTGCCAAAGACATTTTCCAACAGAATACTTTCTTTGTCAATGTATTTCTCTTTATCTTACAATAACTGTTATCCACAACTAATTTGAAAGATTAGAAGTGACTGAAAAAATTTATCTAATTTCACCTATGGCTAAAGAAGTTAGGTATACTGTCCTCTTTAAGCCTCAGAAGAAACACAATCTCATTCCTTTATAATGATATCTTACCCTTTTTGAAATATATTTTAACTATTGAAGAA